AATTCTTCTTCAGCCACTTTATAATAAGTTTTAGCATTGTTTAAAATGTTTTTTCATATAAATATATTTAAATAAGGACAAAGAAAAGAGGCTATGAGTTTGTGTGAGTCCAATAGAAAATGTTAGCTCACTGCTTTATTAGGAAGCTAGTTAACCACTAACGAGCTACTTAAACATTTCTATTATGATATTGGAATTTTTAAGGTCAGTGATCGTTTTTGTTTATGCTCCTTTCAGTTCGTCTGAATAATTGCAGGAAGAGAGTATTTGAGGAATGTTCCTGGCTTTTCGGGGCACTCCCTGACACGGTGAAGTTCCATGTCAGCTTCAAAATGCAGACCATGATGAATCGGAGACAAGTCCTGTGTAATTGATTATAGTAAATATGCCCGACAGATACAATACTCTGAAATAGATGCGTTTACACAAAGCAAATATTAACTTTGGACTCTGTGTGTGATTTATTTTGATAGTCTGATACATGTGAAATGGAATTTTACAACTATAAATCCCATGTGAAGATGAACTAGATTGACAGTTTGCAAGGTATGAGCAATATTTACAGAGACATTGTTTTAAAAACCTGCTCTTTTGTCTTAATGATGTAAAATTAATTTTTGTGCCTTTGGAATGCATCTGGAATTTACCAGATGTTTGTAGAAGCGTCATTTCACCTTCATGCATGTCTCTGTAACTGCATCAAGCTGCTTTTACTGTGTTTATTTTAAAGCTAAATGAACACAGAAAGGATTTATGAATGTTAAGATTCTCCCAAAAATATTATAAGTACCTGAAAAAGGTGACAGCTTTTAATGGCGAGCTTTATGTCAGCCAGAGAAGCTGTTATTAAAAATGAGATCTATTAGAAACAATTACTACAAAGTACACTATGTGCTAATAGATTAAACACCTCACATTTAGTTTATGAAATGTCAAAAATACAACACATGCACAAGAAAAAAAACATTCTGTGTTAACACAGGCAAGAAATTCCAGTAAATAAATTTCCACAAAGTGTGGTGTAAGAAGAAACGTTTCCGTTTGTATTTTTCCTTTCGATTTCATTGACCAGAACGAAAGACTAAATAAAATCAGATTTTCTTAACGAATGACATTCAGCTGTGACATTTCTCCACCCACACCCCTCTCCATCCCTCTCACCCCCCATTGTTCATATCTTATTTTAATAAAATCCTTCTGAGTTTATTTATATCCCATGCGACCTCATTCCAAGGGTGGTGTCATATTTTAAGCTCGACAAAATGGCAAACACATGTGATGTAAACTAGAAGATGTTTTGTAAGCGCTTTGTAATGATAATTGGCTCCAGCAGCCAACTGATCCCCTCACCAGAGTTTATAGGGAGAGATGGTTCAATTTGTGATGACAAACTTCTTCCCAAAGCTTTTTGGCTCCTTTTATAGCAATCGTTCCTCATCCTCGGTGAAGCTGCTGTCTGAGGGTGACTGACAGCTTTTGTTTCACCTTCTGCTTCTGTGTCTGAACAAGTGCATCCGGCAGAACATGGGAAGACATCACACGATACGAGCATGAACATCGCTCCTTGTGCTCCTGTTAATGCCTCTCACACATTCTCCACGTGTTGTACCTTGTGACGTGTCCTGTTTTCAGCATCATTCATTTGAACAATATTTTCACATCTGTAAGTATCCTTCTGAGTTCTCTTCTCACTCAGATAGGATTAGCTTTTTATTATTATTACTGGTATTTAATGTATGTATTCATGCCATTTCTGTGAAAGTATTACTCCTAGACCAAAGATAAGCAGCATTTTGTGTTCATCCATCCATCCATTATCTTTACCCGCTTATTCCATTTTGGGTCACGGGGGTCGCCGGTGCCCATGTCCAGCAATCACTGTGCGAGGGGCGGGGTACACCCTGGACGGGTCTCCAGTCCATCACAGGGACACATAGAGACAAACGAGACAAACAACCATTCACTCTCTCACTCACAACTAGGGACAATTTAGAGTTACCAATCAGCCTAACATGCATGTTTTTGGTCTGTGGGAGGAAACCGGAGCACCCGGAGAAAACCCACGCATGCATGGAGAGAACATGCAAACTCCACCCAGAAGGCCCCCTGGACCGGGGATTGAACCAGGGACCTGCTCGCTGAGAGGCAGCAGCTCTACCAGTTGCACCACCCTGCTGCCCATTTTGCATTCAATTCCGTTTCTTTATATAGCACCAAAGCACAACAACGTTGTCTCAGGGCACTGCACAGGAGCATTCAAAGGTCTACAATGACACAGTGAAGGAAAGACCTGGGGCGGGGGACTACTTTCATAATTTGGAAGGTATTTTGACAGGTTCTCCCCATTAACTTGTGGGGTGCCACAAGGTTCAATTCTGGGCCCACTTTTGTTTTCCTTTTATATTATCCCACTTGCCGGCATTCTTCAGTCCTTTTCTGATATTTCCTATCACATTTATGCTGATGACATTCAATTGTATTTTTCGTTTAGACTACACCAGCTGGACAAGTTGGCCATCCTTGTCCAATGTTTGTCCCGTATCAGTGACTGGCTTGGCAGTAACTTCTTGGTTTTAAACACCAGTAAGACGGAGACTTTGATTACTGCTCTCAGTCACCTTCATCCAAAAATCAATCAGAAAATTTTCTCTTTTTGCCAAGTAGCCAAATCAAAAGTAAAAAATATGGGAGTCACATTTGTCTCATCGTTAGGCTTTGAGTCTCACATTAGGGTTATTTCCCGTTCTTAAGAAATATTTCTAAAATATGACCTTTGGTCTCCACAGTTGACCTAGAGAAAATTATCCACGCTTTTGTGTCATCGCGTCTGGACTCCTGTAACGTCCTTTTTACCTGCCTGGACAAGTCTTCAGTCTCACGTCTACAAGTAATACAGAACACAGCTGCTGGACTTCTCGCCAAATCCAGTAAATGCTGTCACATCACTCCGGTTCTATATACTGGCTCCCAGTTGAGTTGAGAATCAATTTCAAAGTTCTCGTGTGGACGTACAGAGCTTTAAATGGCTCCTGTGTATCTTTGTCAACTTTTAACCAAATACTCTGCTGCTCGTGGCCTTCGGTCCCAGACTCAGAACCTCTTGGATGTTCCACGTACGCGGTTGAAAACTAAAGGGGACAGGGCCTTTCAGCCAGTGGCCCCCAGGCTGTGGAGACGGGGCCTTTCA